CCTGCATCCTATAAATTTTGATATGTTGTGCTCTGGTTTTTATCTCAAAGTATTCTCTAACTTCCCTGTGGTTTTTCTTTTTACCCATTGTTTATTTAGGAGAGGGTTGTTTAATTTCCACACATTTGTGAATTTCCTAAATTTCCTTCTGTTATTGTGGTCAGAGTACATATTTTCTATATTTGTCTTTTTAAATGTATTAAGACTTATTTTGTGGCAAAAAATAGAAGAAAAAAAAAAAAAAGAAATCATGATTAGTGTTTGTTTTGCCCTGCGTGATGTAGGTGCTTTGGTGCTTTGACGTATGAGGCACAACTCTCACAAAAAATAGAAAAAAAAAAAAAAGAAATCATGATTAGTTTGTTTTGCCCTGCGTGATGTAGGTGCTTTGGTGCTTTGACGTATGAGGCACAACTCTCAAACCTTTTACACCTTCAATTTGTGGTTATGGTTCATTCCCTGAGGACACAGATTACTTGAGGCCCACTGAGACAGCCACCAGGGCCACCAGCAAGATGTGGGAAGAGAGTGTGGCTGTATTTTCTGTGGGGGATGTTTTGAGGGTCCTTCTTTCGCTTAGAAAATTGAGAGGAAGTTGGATCTGAGTAGGAGCTGCCCCTACAAGGGCTGGCATCCGGGGCGGAGTGTAGGAACTGACTACACTTGACAGGCAACTTCTGAATTGGGGACAGGCATTCCTGGGGCTGCCTTGACTCCTTTGATCCAAGGTTCTTTTCTCTTGTCGAGGGACAGTTTGAAATAAAAATACATCCATGGGGTCTAAGGATTCAGCAAGCCTGTTAGCATATCTTTAAACACCAGATTGATTGATAAGTTCTTTAATGAGGATTCTGTGTGCCTGCCTTTTGTACTCGTGCAGACAGGGTCAAAGCAGGGCTTGGTTCCTGGTCACTAACTTACAGTCCAGTTGAGAGCTCAGGCACGTTTTTATGCAACTATTAGGAAATAAGTTGGGCCAGGGTTTCTGAATTGTTTCATCAGACTAAACCAGAGCAAGACCCCATGCAGATCTTCTCATTGATTGTTCACCCTGTGCAACATTTTGAATACCAAGGACCCTCTCTCTAGAAGCTTGTACAGTTTAAATAATATATGTATATAAACATAACAGATACGTATAATTGTATTTACAAATTGTATCAGTATGTAGTGCTGATTTAATCGTTATAATGAAATATTGTATTATCCAGTTTGCAGTCAGAGAATGCAAATTCCAGAGGCTTTAACTTTCCCAGCATCTGAAAGCCCCCAGTGAGCTGTGATGTCAACATTGCACCCATCAGTTTTGCTGTGGGCTCTGCAGCAGCGTATTGCCAGATTCTGCCTGTCGCTTGATGCGGAGCTCGCTATTGCCTGTTTTACTTTCCCATGCTACACAGTTGTGACTGCAGCTCTTCCAGTTGTTGTTTCAATTGCAGATGTCCTAAAATCGGAAGGCAAAGGGTCAATGTATGCTAGAAATATTCTGGGGGGGGTGGGGGGCCCAGGTAAATAACACTACTAAAGCCAACGTGCTGAAGGGAAAATTATAGTCTTCTGTGACTCTAACCTTTATGAAATGTCTGCATTACATTGTCTTAAAGGGTGGCATTTGGGGTCCTCGGATGAAGCACAATGTTCATCGTTCTTTCTGTTAAGCATGAAGAGCACAATTCTGGTCTCTTGCCACTGATGCTAAAAAGATTTATTGATATCGATAATGGATAATTACTGGATACTCCAGAGGGCACCAGAGGACCGGCTCCCGGTGGTGGGTGGATTTGTCACGGTCCGATGTGCTATGTTGGTGGTGGCTATAGGGAGCCCCAGGCTAGGGAAAATTCTGCAGTTTTCCTTGGCCTTCAAAAGAGAGCTGGACTCAGTTCCTGCATTGGTCGGGAGGTGGGTGGTGTTTACCTCCTCTGACCAGTGGAGAACAGTTCAGCGTGAAACAGGGAGTGAGTATGAGGAGGGGTCAGGATCTCAAGTGGCACACAAAAGTGTTGTCACAACACCCACGGAAACCCCGTAGGAGAGGGTCGCATGCCTGCAGGACAGCGGTTTTACCATGACATTGGGATAGACCACTCTTTCTTCCTTTGATGAGCCCTAGGAGTATTTGAGACCTTGTACTGTGAAAAACAGGAATCTTCAAGCAGGAGAGTCACCCCTGGCCTGGGGAGGAGCTTGTGCTCTGTGGGCGTCTGGAACTGCCCAGCCTGGCACCAGCAGATGCCTCCCCTCTCCCTTTCCTGGGCTCGTGTGGCCGACCTTTTCTCCCCTGCGTGGTGCAGGGAGCAGAGCTGGGATTCCTGCCCAATGAGTCACTGTTGTTGGTGTGTAGCTGCTGTGCTGAGCACTAGTGGGAACAAAATGGGCATCTTGGGTTCCTGGAGAAGGTGGCAGGACCCAGCCCAGAAGGAGGCTCAGAGTTGGGATGAGTTGTCAGACAGAGGACGCAGCCGCAGGATGAGCTCTTCATACCCAGGGCAGGAGGGGAGGAGAAATGCTCCCCAAGAAAGGGAGCTGCGGTTGGGTGGGTGTTCCGTGGCCGCCCCCTATGCAGCCGTGCCCAGAGCCTGCAGCGTCACCCGTGTTCCCTGGGACACGCCCTGTCTGTCAGGCCCTAGCCACAGGCCACCTTCTCTGGGGAGCCTTCCCCCAGTCTGTTAGCAGGCTGCTGTCGCATGGGCTGCACTGGGTCTGGGTCTGCCTCCCTTACCGGCTGTTGGTGTCCTGAAACCACACTGTTGTCTTCCTTCCAAATCTTTGGTTCCTCCAACTCTTTATGGAGTTTGAGAGCAAGATGGTTTGAATCTGGGCCTCTCTTTTTCTTTTCCCTGCCCTTATCTCCCTCTTTCACTCCCTGCTTTCAGGGCAATCTGTGGGAAGCAGGCATCCAGGCGAGGGGCACCATCATCCCTAGAGATGGGCGACGGTGGCTTTGCCCTCAGTGGCGGGTCTCCCTCCCTGGGGGTCTCCACAGCAGTAGCTGTGGGCTGAAGCGTTTGATGGGCAGTCAGTGTGGTGAGTGTGGGGCATCGGAAGCCCAGAGGAGGGGTGAGGATGCTGTCAGGACATTTTGGAAGGAACGCTGAAAAGATGGCCTCTGATTGGCTTTTGCCCATGAGTCGGAGATTCCCGGACAGAAGTGGGAGAAGATTTGTGGCCAGCATGCCATTTGCTGTTAGAAAGCAAGTTGTGGTTTCAACATTCCTTCGAGATTCTTGTTCACATGTTGCAAATACCCTGGCCCTGGGCCTTGAATGCACGCCGGGGTCTAGATCACCCTTGGCTGGCCATGTAGCATGTGTTTGTCAACAGGGAACATTCCCTGATGGTCTTATTTACATTTTTCCATTTATTTATCAGACTGGTTCCTTGTATATGACATAAAGGTAAACAACTCCTGGGCCTGCCCGAAGGGTCACGATTCCCAGCCTCCCTGGGCCAAGGCCTCTAAAGGCTTCCTTTCTCTCGAGTTTCTCTGGGATACTTCCTCTGTGTGACAGTCTCCTGCACTGCTATTCAGTGTCACATTTGCTGCAGCTGCTTCTCATTTACCTTTGTGAAGCATTACTATTTTAAGGCCATTTTTTTGGCCAAGAAATGCCTTTTTTTACAAAAAGCGGCTGCCTCTGATTACCCCCTACCCCCAGTCTCCTGGTGGATGAACCCCCTTCTGTGTGCACTGTCTGATCTCAGAGAAGCCCCTGGGGAACCTGGAAAGGTGCTTCTGCCTGGTGGCCCTGCCCCTGCTGTCTGAGTGAGGGGTACCCCTCTCCCTGCAGCACAGTGACCACCCCTCCCCAACTGTGGCCTGGGAGCCCACCCCAAGGCAAGTGCCCCACTTGGACACAAGGTGCAGGGAGGTCCCCAGTGTAAAGATGGGGCACGACACTCAGGGCTCCTGCTCTGCCCACTACCCCCTGACAGTGCCAAGTGCCTACAAGGGGTGCTCTTACCCTGCTCATCAGCACAGCACCTGGAGGTTTGAGCTGCACCCAGAGACCTAGTGAACCCCCAGCTCCAAGGCTGAGACATCACAGCCTGAGTTCAAATCTTATCTGGGTGATTCTGGATACTGAAACGACTACCTTTAGGACCTCTGGACAACCAGACATGGGAAATTAAATGCCAGTGCCTCCCTCCGTCTCTTTCTCTCTCTCTCCTTCCCTCTCTCTCTCTCTGCCTTTGTCTCTCTCTCTCTAAATTATAGCATGCACACAAGCATTTAGCATATTACAGAAAAAATGACAGCTGCTGCTTTTGTGAAAACAGAAAGCTTTAAGTTGAAACATGGAGAGTTTAGATGAAAAACTTCCTCACCATCAGTTGTGAAGATTTAGAAAAAAGAGGCCATCGGATTTTATTATTTAGATGTCTTCCAAAACAGGGCATGTTCAGGTGGTCTGAAAGGGTTTAGGTGTGGGCCGTCTGAGGAGGAGGGGCCGTGGTGTTTTGGGAACTTTGATTCCATGGAAACAGCACAAGAACCATGTGGAAGCATCCTTGTAATCGTGCTCTGCAGCAGCGGCAATGCAGGGCCTCTGTGAGCCGCTGAGACATCTTCAGAGGAGCCACTGAGACATCTTCAGAAGCCTGTTTGCAGAGTCAGAATAATCCCCTCGGGCCGGCCCAGTGGTGCACTGGAGAGTGCGCCACCTGGGAGTGTGGCGGCGCTCCCGCCAAGGGTTCGGATCCCATGTGGAGACCGGTTCCCGCTCACTGTTTGAGCATGGCACGGGTGCAACACTGAGGGTTGCGATCCTGTTGCCGGTCCCCGGTAGGGGCGCGACACCGAGGGTTGCGATCCCGTTACCGGCCAGTAAAAAAGACAAAAAGAAAAAAAAAAAAAAAAAGAATAATCCCCTCTCGGAGTGAGCTGCAGCCACATCTCTCCATGGGGGAGGCATGCCCTACGTGCCTGCGTGGGGTGCTGTTGTGCAGAGCGAGGCCTCCTGTGGCAGCTGCTCAAACTTCTTTCTCTCTTTAACCAGGTGAAATGCTACCATAAGAAGTACCGCTCGGCCACCCGCGATGTCATTTTCCGTGTGCAGTTTCACACCGGGGCTGTGCAGGGCTGCAGGCTTGTGTTTGGAAAGGAGGATCTGGACAATGCCAACAAAGGTGAGGCGCGGCTGCCCTGCACCTGCGGGGCCTGTGGTCGGACCTCCTCGTTTCTTTCACTGGCCTCCCCCACCTCCCTCAAGTCTAGCCTCTTGAAAAAATTATTACCTATCTCAGGAAAAAAACAAGTGATCTGTCAAAGAGAAGACTGTAGGTAGGGAAACCATGAAATTACAGACGCTTTCTGTGCCACTTGGTGTTTTTATTGCATATTTTGAAATGGTGCTATACTGGTTGGAACGTAAGGACAAAATCAATTTATACTTTTTTTGTTCTTCAAAGGTGTTGAAATAGTTTCTTTTTTCAGATGACCGTTTTCCTGACTATGGGAAGGTTGAATTAGTTTTTTCAGCCACACCTGAGAAGATTCCAGGTGGGTAGCATGGCCGGACGCTGGGCAGCTAGTGTGGGCGGGTGGTGGTACACTGGTATTGTGCTAATCTCCCACCTCTGCACACATATGCACCTTTTTGTAATTAAGTTTTTTAAAAAATAGTATATTAGACAGTGGGGAGGAGGTGGCTTGAAGATAAGAAGGCTCACTTGGGTAAGACCTCACAGGTGGCATGAGTTGTCCAAGGCCACTCAGTGCAGGCGGGCAGCACCTCCAGGACTGGGGTGTGGCCCACTGGTGGTCATGAGGATCTACCTTTGAGGTAGATCTACTTTTGATCTGCTTTTGATCCCCTGTGAGGTTGTCCCGAATGTTTACTTCTCCTCTCAACAACCAACCACCGTATCACAAGGGGATTAGAAGTACAGGAGGCTGCAGACATTTATGTGCAGAACAAATTCTCCCTTCTCATAAAAACACAGGACAAAGAAATCAGGTCCTTTATTGTCGAGGTGAATTGTTCAGCTCCATCCCCAGGCTCCATGCGCATGAAGGTTGTAATTCCATTTTTAACAGCTGTGGAAAGCAGTCACCCTCTTTCTATGCTCATCGTCATGATTAAGGCAGGAGCCATTCAACGCGAGGCTTGTCTGTTCAAAATCCTCTTGGTGTTCTTAAAAGCAGGTCTGGGCACCCGGAGGGAGCGTGGGTTCTGAGACTGAGTGACGTTTCATGACGCCTCCACGTCCTCACCAGTGGGATGATTTTCAGGCTGGCTGGCACACGGTGGCCCCGTGGCCAGTGCTCGCCATTCCTTTTCCCTGAGTGGTTTTAACTGTGTTCAGTTTGTCGAACATCATGCACGCTGTGTCTGCTGAGTGCCGTGGCTCATGGGAGGAGGGCTTCGCTCTGCTGCACACTCGCTGGGCCACGCTCTGCCCTCATAGTTGGAGCCAGGGGGGCAGGGGTGCTGGACATCACTGGACTAACACTGCTGCTTGTGCCCCGTGCAGGGTCTGAACGTTTGCACAACGACCACGGAGTGATTGTGGACTACAACACAGCTGACCCGTTGATCCGCTGGGACTCGTACGAGAACCTGAGTGCGGACGGAGAAGGTGTGTGGAGCCTTGTCGTGTGCAGTTACCAAGGACGAGGGCGCGGGAGGGCAGCCTGTTACGGTTAGATCGGAAATAGTCTGCAGGCTGCGCATAAGCAGAAGCTCCACTGAGCTCTCAGAGG